AATTTGCCCTGTATGACCCATTTGGGAAATACTCTATGCCAGAGTTGTTTTCATTTTTCGGCATGAGCTGTGACTCAGGCAGTATAAAAAATACAGTTTGGCTTCCCAATCTTTTTGTACCCACAGGCCACTTAGCAGAGGCTTTGTCCTTAGTGGTACCCAAAGACTCCAGAGGGACTATGCTGAAACGATTTCATAATCATACTTCCAGAGTCTCAGAATATCTCCTAACAGTACCTTGAGTACTTCCCTGTTGTTTACTGCAACACACCTTTTTCTGGAGCTCATCTTGCTTTTAATCAGTTGAGCATCATTTCTGCATCAGCATTTAATATACTGGTGCTAATGGAGAGTGTCCTAGCACCCCTTTTGGCTTTAACAGAAAACTGAGGACCTCCATAGGGCTGAGGGGGTTCTCTCACTGTAAACTGAGTTGTTCTTCCTGCTTATAGGTGCCATCACCCCAGATCTGGGCTGCTCATGATTTCTCACCTGTCTCCCAGGTGGGTACTTCAGCCTCAGGCAATGGATCACACAGTTCCTCTGGAAGCTTTCTGGGGTTCCTAAGGAAGGCAGCACTTAATCACTTTCATTACCTCCTTCTCAGTGAAACCAAATACCAGCTTACTGAGAAAACCTCTCCACAGCCTCACATGATTCAGTACACCAGATTTCTTGCCTTTGACCATTTTATCCCATGCTTTTCAGACTCTGGCGAGCATCTACAAAATGTCTGCCTACTATAAGTAAAATCTGCTTCTAACACTAATCTGGCAAGTAGTACCTGTGTCAACTTGGTACATCTGCTGAGCATGGGGGATGCAGGCTGAGCTGCTCACAGCATTCGCACCCATGCTGTGGGGGGCAGGCAGATGTCCACATACGCTTCAGTTAATCTCTTGCATATCATCTTACCGTAACGTGTTTTGCAGTATCACAAACAGCTCCAGATTGGCAAATCATTTTAACCTGCATCCCTGCTGCACATTGGGAATTTCAGCAAGGCTCTGTGAAGTTCATAGCATCTTATCCTTGCTGCTACATATCTCCAGGGAAAAACTCTTCAGAGCTGGAATCTGGGCTCCAAGGAAACATCTTTCCAGATACCTCTCAGCTTTTGGGGCTGTGCTGCATTAGCAATACAATGTTCAGTGTGACCTATTTCAACAAAGAATGCGGTTCTATGTACACTAACGTGGAGATCTGTTTTCAATCCTTACTTGGTGTCTTCACATTGTTTCTGCAATTTCAAGGGTTTTTCCTTCAGCAACAGACAACAAAAGATGACTGAACTGTTGACGAATATTCACTCTTAAGCCTGAGTCTGAATAATTGCTTACCTTTTCTTCATGATCTACTGTAGTTTTTTTATCACTAACCCTCTTCGTGTTCTCACTAACCTCTTCTTAAAAACCTTCTGATCTACTGCTAACTCTTAATGCAATTCTACAAAATCCCTGCCTCTCTGTGGTCTTCTGATGTAATTTTCATATGTTCAATTAAAGCCTGATCTAGTTTCTCTTTCCTTGCCTAGACACTGTCTCTGTGTCTTGCTCCAAACTTTATAAATTCTCTTCCAATGTAACCACATTGGGTTCCTATTTAATATGCCACTCAGCAAGTTTTTTAGAGAGAATCACAAACAATACATTGCAAGCTGAGCTTTCAGCATCAGATATCTCTTATAATCAATAACAGTACAGGTAAAGCTAACCAATAAATGCATAGCAAAGCTTTCACCATAAGCAAGGAAGCAAATCCCACCCACTGTACCACAAGTCACTCAGTCTCTTACAAAGGACACTATCTCCTCATCCAACTGCAATCAGCCTGGCTGGCTGTTGTTTGAACAGGTGAAAACTGAACTCAGCAAATTCATGTGACTTTGAGTATAAATGGTGATACTCTGCAGGCAGAAAGACAAAGAAGATGTAGCATTTCCAATCTGATTATTTCCAGTACAATGTTTAGGTCTTATCCACCGTTACTTTTGATGACGTCTTAGAGTGGGGGGAAGATACTCCATCATCTCTGAAAATTCTAGGCACCTCCTGTTTTTCTTGTTAACTACAAGGCTAAGTTGTAAGCAAGTACAAAACCTGAAGCCTGTAAAAGCTCCTTGGTTTGAGATTTTTGCTGAACTTGTTTGGAAAACACTTAAATTAGATCCAATTAGGTTTTAATCAGCCTAGTTGAAGAAATTATTCTTTTGGCTGCTTTCACAGGAAACTTGAGTTAAATGCAAATTATAGTTCTCTGATTGCTAGAGACTGGAGAAAAATACTTCCCCTTTTTCACTCCTAACAGCCTACTTCTCTATTTTTAATCAGAGCTGTTGAGTAGTCTGTCCTGGGCAAAGAAAGTCATGTATAGAAAGTGATTTGGAATTCATCTCTAATAATGTTTAATGAGCAATAGATACAGGATGGATTTTTGTTCCCATACAGCCCTTTTTGAATGCCATATATAAACTGTGATTCAGTAAAAAAAGGCTTAGGTGTGAATAATGTTTGATCTACATCTGGCAAGTACAACTGCAGTCATTAAGCTGAGCTTTTGTGAGGCTCACTGCATGCTCATAAGCCAACTTAGATCTTAATGGCTAAGAAAGTTGCAAGTGTTACTAAGCTGGCAGAATCAAAATGAGGTTACAGGAGAAATCAAATTCCATGTAAATGAGTTAGCAGTACAGAAAAATGAAGTTACCAATCTATCACAGAATTATACATACGAATAGTCAAACACAAAAGCACAACTTAGTCATACAGAAAAATCAATTAGAACATGGCAAGCTTGGCAGCTGTGGTAAAGGTATGGCCTTCATTTTCTCTGATTTCCCATAAATGTTATGGAATAGGTCCTGATACCACTGTTCTCCTATAACAATCCATTCATTGTGTCATCAAATCTTAAATTAACTTGGTGACTCTCAGCAGCAGAGTATTGGGGAAGGATAGACAGTTTTGTCTAATTGTGTTGAGAAACTTCCGTCCTCGCCGAGAAATCTATTTCCCATTCTATTAATATAAGACCTATTTAAGCAAACAAAAGTGAATGGAATTTGCCAGCCATGAAATGTAAACTTTATTCAAAAAGGGTTATTTCCTTCAGGCAAAATCCACGCAAAAGTTTTCTTGAAGACTAGGGCTCTACAGTAGCTCAGGGACACTGTGATTAACACTGGCACTTGTGGGAGAATTCAATGTACTTTGAAAGAAGGGGAATTTTAAGTTAAAAAGAGGAAGCTTCTTTTGACCACAGGGTGCTTGCTTTAAGCAGCACACACGTATTTGTGATAGGAAAGGGTTTATTTTTCTGTGTTTTGGGCATTGTGCTTATGGTGGAGGACAGGCACTGAGGACAGAGGAAAGAATGAACATTTCTGTTGTCAAGATCCGTATTAGAGTATTTTGCTGCCTCTGAGACGGGAAGCCTGGAGAAAGAAATAAGGTACTGCTTATTTGTTATACTTTAGAATTGTGATACTGCTTTATATTGAATGAGTTTGTTTCTTTATTTATCTAATAATAATCTGAGCAGTTTCAGAGGTAAGCGTTTGTCATGCTCCTATAAACGAGTAGGAGCATACGTTTGTAAAAATGTGGTTGCTTTTAGTAAAGTGACTCCACAGCTGATCTCTATTGCATTTGAGTCACAGCTGCTAATTGTACCAGCTCCACACACATCCCTTATTCCCTGGAGCAAGCTGACCAATCTATACCAGAAAGAGCCAGAGCCCATTCTGTAGTAGCATCGACACAATTATTTCCTGAATTACTGGAGCAAGACATTTATAATCAGAAACTGGGCAAAAGGACCAAAGTGAACCTGCAGGACATTTTCCTATTATGCACGTTATAAGGATGGTGCTCTTAATTTACACCAGTAAATAGGAGAATCAGGTCCTTCCTTCCAACTGTTGTAATGATTGTGGTTGAAGGGAGGGACTGAAAACTAGGAGGCAAAACCTTTTCCTTAGCTTTGTAAATCAACGTGCCATGAGAAGTACTATGAGAAACCCAGTATGTGTCCCCAGAGTGATTTTTGCACTGAACTGAGAGCAGGAGGCTTATTTAACTGCACTTCTGAATATCACATCTTCATTTAATAATTGAGATTAATTTATTGCAAGAAAAAGAAGCTCCTGCTCAGTGATCCTCCTGTTTAAGAAGCAGTATGACGTTTGTGGCGCATGCCCACCTGATTTTGAAAGACACTTACTGAAAAAAAGGTTATAATACCTGGGGACTGAAAATAAAAGGTATTGTTTGGCTGCTAATCCTTATTAGGATTGTTTGGGTATAAGTTAGGAATCAACTACAGATTCATGGTTTTGTGTACAGTACATATCTTGCCATCAGAGGTGTCCTTGATACTGCCATTTGAGGTTATGCCTGTACTGCATTGTGTAGCCATGCTGCCATTTCCAGGCAAAGTGTCCTGTGCAGAAGTAGGAGGCTCAGAAGAGGGAGTGGGCATTTGGATTCCCTCTTCTGTACAGTGACTCTTGAGGAAACTCCACCAACTTACAGGTCTGATAATGAACTGACATAGAATCATAGAATCATTGAATAGTTAGGGTTGGAAAGGATCTTGAGATCGTCTGGTTCCATCACCTGTCTGGAGCAGGGGTGCACTCCTCTATTTCTCTGCAAAGTCAAACAAGGCAGAGTGGCCTGGTGAGAACTGAATCTGGCAATTGCTACTCCCCTACTGGCAAGTTTGTTTGACGAAACTTGAGGCAAGTGCAAGCACTGGGAAAGGAGGAAAAATGTCATCTGATGTGGTTAACTGTGATGCAGAAGTAGTTCAACCAACTTGCCAATTCTGTGGCCAAGTGTAGCTTAGAGTGTCGAACAAATACGTCAATCTACCCCGTCCTTTAGGTGGAACTCAGAATAAACACCACAGCTAATCCCAACAAATGTCTCATTCTGGCTGATAACTTTCTTCCCTTCCAAATGTCCCCGCAGTTTCACTTGTGTGGAGTACATGTTCGTGTCCTGGGCTTTGCTGTGGTGGCACTTTGCATCGTTAGGCAGTCGCTGTGCTCTCTTTCAGAGGTACCTGCTCTTCACTTGTGGATGAAGAATTCTGCTAGCAGAGGGAGTGGAATGCTCCATGATCTTTCAACCAAAGGTATTATTTAAGTAATTGGTGTTGTTTAATTGTTATTAAAAGACAGTTCTGGATGTTAGAGCAAAGTGATACCAGAATCACAGAGAAACTCATAGTTCTTCTGAAGATCTTAGGGATAATAAAAGGATGTTATTGAAAGAGGCAATAGTGAGAAGGAATACAAAAGGCAAAAATTAGGGAGATAGAAGGGTTTTTTAGTATAATAACAGCATAATTAAACAACAACCCCAGAATTTTTAGATGTAGCTTAGAGCTCTAAAAGACTGAGCAATAGAAAAGTTTAGCAACTGATTAATATAGTTCTGCTTTCTAGCTGGATAAACACATAGGAATCACAAACTGTCTGGCAATGGTATGCTTTTAAAATGTGTCCATTGTTGGATAGTTATGTGGTTGTACAGCTTTGTGTTTGGGTTCAGGGCATCCGAGAATTCTCTGACCTTGCCATGTTAAGGGAATTTCTTTGGGTTGTGATTTCTTTTGATAAAGTCGGTTCAAATCAGCCTGCGTTTACAACATGGGAGAAGGATGATGAATGCATCTTCTGGATGTCTCTAGGCTAGCTTTTGGGTCAGCAGTGGAAAGTCTTAGTCATACATGTCCTGTCTCCAGGAGACTCATGGAGCTACTCAGTGTTGAACAGGGTAGGAATTCTAGAAAAATTCCCTACACTAGAGGAGTCAAAAGAGTCGGTTTCTACTTCAGTATCTGGTTTTGTTTTGAGCTCATCATGAAACGTGGGGGAGGAGAGTCTTCCCATAGAAGATGTAAGATGTAAGGAGATGTACCTGATGTAAGAAAAAGAACTAATGCCATGTAAGAACATGTAAGAAAGGAATGTTTTGAAAGGTACTGAAGAAATTTAGGAGTCAAAGAGCACAGATTTGAAAGTGTCTTTCAAAAAATAGTTACTACATCCAAAACTGAAAACAGGAAAAAAGAGAGCAAATGAAAACCCAGGCAAGCATACCAGGCACAAAGCCCTTGTTTACTCCAAGACCTTCATGCTTCTGTGTACACTGGGTTTTCATATGCTGGATTGGGAGGAGCAAGAGACAGAAAGCACAAGCCAATCTCAACATAAGTCACACTGGGCTTTCTGGCACTTGCCCTCAAAAGCAAAGGGAGTGAAGTTGTCTCTTTTTCATGAACATCAATCTTACAGTTCCTCAGTGGAGGCATCCCCCTATACTCAGCCAAGTGGGAACTACTTCTTGACTTTTCTGAGGCTGATTTGGGCCAAACAAAAGCAGTCACAAATAGGGTCAGTAAAGTGCATGTACTCATATGGTTTCTTCTCCTTATGGTGATTTTGCTGCAGATAGTGACTAGAGGGTTGAGTGTGACTGCATACTGACAGAATTTCAACTAATACACTTCTCCATTTTTCATCTCTGACATCCACATGTGACTTGTAATTGTGAGTCATGGGGACATCTCCAGGAATGAGGAGGCTGACAAAGCCTCAAAAGGCAAGAAAGACACGCCACATAGTGCTAGCCTTATTTAGCAAGGGGAAATGACTGCCTCCCAATGGACTCACGTAATTCAGGATAACAGAGATAATTTGTAAGCCCCAGGTCTTTGAACCACTCCTATCTCATCAGTTATCACTGGCACTGTGAGAAAGTGCTGCTTCCACAGCTGGATGTACCCAGAAAAACTACACATACACATACACATACACATACACATACACATACACATGCTCTGAAGTGAAGCAGAATGCTCATGCACTGGGCCATGGCCACTCTGAGGGCAGTTTGGTCTACACGTTTTGCCAGCAGCAGGCCATACCCCAAAGCAAAGTCTCTCTTTTTCCTCTTGTCCCCTTTGGCTGCTAAACAGGTCTGGAATACAACCAGTCTTTCAATGGCCTGCAGATATAAAAAAGAGAATTGAGCACGGAATGTGTATTGAATATGCCAACACAGAAACTGTGTAATTCACCTTCTTCCCCTCAGTCCTCTGGACACTGGCTCAAAGAATGTGCATTTGCTGGTTAAAGGCATCTTATAAAAAAGGGGGAAGAGAAGCTACTTGCCATACTGGAGTTTTAGTGACCCAATTCATGATTCAGCAGCTCTCACATAAGAGTTCAAGTAAGACAAGCCGCTTGCCACACTCAGTGATCTCTCTCTGAAGGGAACATGGGTGTACACCCCTCTGCAGACCCACAGGATCCTTCTTTATGCAGCATGCCTTCTCCTTGAAAACAACAGCCAGGAAACCATGTAGGAACCTTGAGGCTTCTGTCCTCACTGCTCCAAATCCAACCCATAAAGCAAGGCAAGCAGGGTTATCTGGTATTTTTCCCTGGGTTTTATTTCTCTCTAACTCTTTCTTTCAGTTCCAGTTTTGGTCTTTGCTGCTGTGAGACAGTGATTGCAAGACATGCCTAGCTATAGCATACCTTCCCTGCTTAGTTTCCAGTTGCTAAATCATTTTAATTTCTCTTCTAACACACATGCACTAGATAAAAAAATAAATAAGGGCTATCCTTTTTTTTTTACTTGAAGCAAAACTTCTTATTCACTGGAGGAAAAGCTGACTGCTGAGCAGGGGGTTCTGTAGTTTTCAGTGGCGGTTTGGCACAGGCGGTTTTATTTAGGCAGTCACTTGTGTGGTTTAATTCAGCGGGGCCCAGCCGAGAAGGAAAACCTCTTGACAAAAGTTCAGCATGTGAACTTTACCACAGGCAGCTTGAGCAGAAGGAGAATGATCTCCTACAACAATGGATTCTGTACAGGCCCTCCCTCCTCTTTTGCTGGTAGATGGATCACTAAGAAAACTACCGGTGTCCTCCGAGACATTTGGGCTTCTTTCTCACCTTTCCTAAGAAAAGGCAGGATGAATCTGGTCTGGAAAAAATATTCACAGCTCTGTACATTATAGTACACAAAACCCATGGCAGCCAACTGAGGAACTATTGAACAGAAGAGACTCGGGCTCCTAGGGAACTGGGGTAAAGACTGCAGCAAACCAGCCATCCTGGGTTCAGTGTAACATTTATCTCCTCTCCCATAGCTGGTGCAGGGCTGTGTTTTTGACTTCAGCCTGAGAACAACACTGATAACACACTGATATTTTTAGTGGTTGCTAAGTAATGCTTACCCTGCTCAAGGACTTTTCAGTCCCTCATGCTCTGCCAGTGAGGAGGGGCACAAGAAGCTGAGAGGAAGCAAAGACAGGATGCCTGATCCAACTTAGCCAAATGGGTATTCTATACCACAGCACATCATGCCCAGTATAGAAACTAGTTACCCAGAAGGTCCAGATCACTGCTTGTGTAGGGCTGTGTATAGGTCGGCACGTGGTGAGCAACTGAGTTGTGCATCACTTGTGTTTATTGTTTTCTTTTCCTCTTCCACTTTTAGTTTTATATTCTCTCCCCTTGTTATTCCACTTATCACTATTATTATTGGTGGTAGCAGTAGTAGTTTTGTGTTATACGTTAGTTGTTGGACTGTTCTTATCTCAACCCATGGGGTTTACATTCTTTCCATTCTCCTCCCCCTCCCTCCAGAGGGAGTGAGGGAAGAAGGTGGGGAGTGAGCAAGTGACTGCATGGTCCTGAGTTACCAGTGAGTCTTAAACCATGACAGTGCTTTTTGGCACCCAGCATGGGGCACGAAGGGTTGAGATAACAACAGATCTGACCATAGTGTGTCTGATCATATTTGTGATAAGCATTCACTGTTTCAGATTAATAGTCACTCATCACAATGTTGATTTATTTGCTCTCAGAGCTGTTGCGCTTGGTCTCAAGAGTTTCAGCATGTTGTACCTTACTTACAGCCAGTATTTACTGTTTTAGTGTTTATCACCTGGGGGGCCTGGGCTAAAGCTCTTGTTTCTCTGTACTTCATGGTAATGACTTGTAATGCAATAGAATCATTGATCTGGGCTGGCATGCACTGTCAAAGTGATCACCTCTATACTTTGGGAGGCATGTAATGGGAATTGTTGACAATTACACCTCTTTTTTTTTCCCCCTTGGAAGGCCAGCCTGTGGAGGATACATCCTTCCCCCTTTTGACAAAAAAGCAATCAGGAAGCTGTACTACTAGTGAAGACAGAAGACAGCAATGTCACTGGTTTTAAACAGTGTGAGAGCTAAAGAGTTTTTACATCTGCTCCAGCAAAAAGAGGATTCTTTGAAGCTGTTTAAAGGAGGAGAGTGAAGGACCTTAACAGTGGTGGTGTGGAGGCTTCTCCCAGATATATGAAAAAGACACAGGAAGAGCACAAATGTGCTGCTAAAATGCAAACCAGCCACCACAGGCCAGTTAGATCCAGGTGCTGCTGTCACCCCAAAGCATGGGAATGGCTTGTGGCTGTTTCCCGGGATTATAGGCCCTTTACACCACATAGAATCATTTTTGTTTATGGGCTGTAGGGTTTTTTTCTTTTTATTTTAAAAAGATCCAGTTTCTTAACCACAAATTAAGTGCTGTTTAGACTCAATTCTTTAAACCATACAGGATTTCTCTCAGTTATATTTTACTGATGTGAAGGATAGGTTCCTGTTACAATACTGAAGGTTAAACACTTCAGCACTCCCGGTAGCTGTCATCATCACGCTGTCTCTCTCACCACCTCCTTCTATGTCACCCTCTCCTCCCCCTTTACTTTCAATTCCCCCTTCTTCCCCACACTGCCAGGACAAGCATGTTCCCCATTCCTCTTTCCTCTGCATGAGGTCTTTTGGGTATTCGTCCTACCCTTTGCACCTTGGGAGCTCTCTATTCCTCCCATGGCATACCCTGTCTGCAGCAGTCCTGCATCACATCACCTTCTCTGTAAACCAGAGCTCTGTCATGGCATGTTTCTTGTTGCTAAAGGCTATGAAGCACACAGAAGTCTTTGCACCAGTACACAGGAAAAGGTGAGATTAACTTTCTCAATAGCCTCTCTTGCTAAAACTTCTTCCTGTTTTACCACTTCTTTGGGAGTACTGGAGAAGGTACTGGAATGTTTTCATATTTCATATTTCCTCATATCTCTTCATCAGGGACTGTAGCCATAGGACAAAGGGTGAGGATTTCAAACTTAAACAGGGGAAGTTCAGGTTAGATATAAAGAAGAAGTTCTTTACTGTGAGGGTGGTGAGGCGCTGGAACAGGCTGCCCAGAGAAGTGGTAAATGCTCCATCCCTGGCAGTGTTCAAGTCCACGTTGGATGAAGCCTTGGGTGACATGATCTAGTGTGAGGTCTCCAAGCCCATGGCAGAGGGGTGGAACTGGATGATCTTAAGGTCCTTCTCAACCCAAACCATTTTGTGATTTTATGATTCTATGTTTCTGTGATTTCATATTTCTTTCATTCTTCCTTCTTACAGCATCATGGAGGTCTTCATACTCTATGCTATGATACTTCTCCCAGGTAAAAGGCACATTTTTAATTGTAAAAACTCTTTTGATTATTTGTGTCCTGCTATGTGGTACTTTCTCATCCACTAAAAAGCTCATTCCTTAGCAGTATTTAATGATTTCCACTGCACAACCAAGGTCATATAGCCTATGTAATGTGTATTTAAATTGTGTGTAGGGACTCTATAAAATATATAGCAAGTACTTTCTCTCTTCAACTTTGTATCTTTACATTACACTTGCTTTACATTGCTCTTTAAATTTTTGATTTAAATCTTTCAAATGTGCGCATATCACCCCAGTACATTATAAAGGAAAGCAGTATTAAACTGAAACCTCACAGTTTGATGTGGGACTACTGGAGTTCTAGACAGCTGCAGAGATCATTTTGCAGCCTGGTGCTGTTGAAGAGCAGTCAAAATTTTGCACCAGGAGAAAGGCTATAAATCTTCTCCTCCTTTTGAACACAGCAGAGGTGTTTGTATCTTTTGGGACAGAGGACTTCATTTCCCATTCCAAGAAAAGATAGTCTTCCTGGCCCATCACCACCCATAACAGTGGTTACATGCACTGAGGAAAGTAAGGGAAAAATCATCCCTTAGGTACTACAGTTCGTCCTTTCCTTGCATGAAGGCATAACTGTGTTTATTTCTATTCACAAGATCAGCAACAGAGCAATTAAATCTGACATTTAATTTGTCATCAAACTCTAGATTAATTACAGAAGAGTTAAATCTGACATTTAATGTGTCATTAAACTTTAGATTAATTCTTCATGAGACTGAAAGTGTTCACCTGTTTCTGACCTACTGGTCATATATTCCCTAGACACCAGCATTTACCACACACTGTGCACTTCACATTGTCTTCAAAACTGCAGTGCTGTGTTCTTTTATTAGGAGAACAAACTCAACTTTTTAAAAAGAAATTATGCATCTCTCTCCTTTATGGCAGCATTTCATTATCCTTGGGATGCTGTACTCAGGGTGCAAGAATGGTTTGGACCTTTTGCCTGCAGATAAGTATAGATGCTTGCAGCCTCTGTGTGGTAGGCCTTCCTTGGAGAGTAAAATATAGAAAGGAAAACAAGAAACAGTTTTATGACCTGAAGTCCACAAGACTAAGTGAGTCAGTTTGAAGAACTACATGTCTTGTCATACCTAGTGGGAGCATTTGTGTCTAAATGCTGGCAGTTTACTGCTGCTGTCATTAAGTCTTGCCTGTGTGAGTGCAAATACTTGGTGTTCTTCTGTAGCTGATGGAAATCTTCTTTGTCGAAGGTACCACTGGCACCGTGCATCAGGTGAAGTCATTTCTCAACCACACTGCATACCTATCCTGTTATTTTCCAAACTCTCAAAAAAGTGACATAAAGAATTTAATAGTTTTTTGGCAAAAAGGCCACGAAGTGGTGCATGAAGTGTACCACGGCCAAGAAAAACATGATAATATCAGTCCTGAATATAAAAATCGCACCAAGATGGATATGGACAAATGGACCTTGCAGCTGTTAAATGCAGGGATTGTGGATGAGGGACTGTATACGTGTATCATACAGCAGAGAGTTAAAGGAATTTCAAGTGTCATACATCAGTCTGAGTGCTTACTGCACATCATTGGTAAGTAAGCTCTTCTAATTGTCATCTGGTCTAGGGATTGGTGGGTTTTTGGGGGGGAGGGGGCCTCTGTCACTTTGTTCAGTCCAGAAATATCTGGTATTGTCCCCAACTCACCGAAGATGTACCTGCACTGGAGCTGGATTTCTAAATCATAGAATCATAGAATAGTTTGGTTTGAAAGGACCTCAAGATCATCTAGTTACAAGCCCCTTGCCAGGGGCAGGGATGCCTCACACTAGACCATGTCACTCAAGATTGTCCAGCCTGGCCTTGAACACTGCCAGGGATGGAGCATTTACCACTTCTTGGGCAGCTTCTGCCAGTGCCTCACTACCCTCTCAGTAAACAGCTTCTTCCTTATGTTCAACCTGAACTTCCCCTGTTTAAGTTTGAAATCCTCAGCTCTAAATGCAATGTACCCAGGTGAAAGGAATCAGAAGAAGTAGAAAATGAGGTAATAATTTGCTCAATATTTTATATTCCTGAATCCCACCCTTTCATAGTTGTAGTGAAAACCATTCTGCCTTCTTCGTCTTGCCTCCTGGAAGTTTTATGGCTTTTAGGACTCTGGAAAATACAGTTCTTCATTTGCATCTGATGCACTACCTTCTATTAAAAGTAGCAGTAGTTATCATCGTTGGTGGTAAATTACAGTTGGAACATAAGATTTCTGTGAACACACAGCTATTTTATGATCATATAAATCACAGAGAAAATAAGAAAAGAGCAATTTACGTGGAGGAGTAGAAATTCATATGTTCAGTTAGAAGAAGACTGAAAATACTCTGAGGAAAAAATGCATGCATTGATGAGATTAAACTTGATTTCTTCTGTGTTATCAGACGAAAAGGCGGCAGATCTTTCAACAGGAGAATGGAAGGGAGAAAGCAATCCTTTCCCAATACCTTCCAATATTTTTAGTAATTCCTAAGATATTTTCCTATGGTTTTTCTATTTTAAATTGTTCTGTTAGTAACCTTAGTCCATACGCCTGTGTTCTCTCTTCCACTGTGATAGTGCATTAATAACAACTTCTTCTAACTTCCACTGGTGTTTTCAGGCCTCAGGATACTGTTTCAAAAGAGAACAGGCCATGTGTAACTGCAGCCAAAACCAGAGTATCAGGATGTCTGAGCCTATTTAGCTCTGTGCTACCAGTAAGAGTTCTCTCAATCCACAGATAGAAAACCTAGATTGTTAATTTTGATCCTCCCAGAATCTACTTGACAAGTATTTTCAGCAAAGTTTTATAACTCAGAAACTCACAATGTGCACTCAGGATCAAAGCTTCCAATTTGAGGGAATCTGAGCATCAACTGCTCAGTTAATTCAAGCAGTTCATTGTAGCTTAGCCAGCATCTGAGCAACATGTTACAGAAGTCTCACAGTTAGGCACTGAAACTCTCCTAGACCTTTCAAGGAAGACTGTTTTAAACTGTGTACTGCTGTTTTCCTTCCAAATGACTCTGTTCAATAAGCTCCCAAAGGAAGAAGCAGCATAAAATCATATTTAACAAAATTAGAAGGAAAATACAAATGTTGAAATGTACTTGTGCTAACTTACTGTTTCTTAAGTAGAGTCTCGTATAGAAGGCTTTTTGTAGTGTGAGGTGTTACACTTAAAACGGATGTTAGAAAGACTGAGTGCTGTACAAGAATGACAGGACAGTTATCCAAAGTTATCTCTCTTGATCACTTGGTTACCTAGCCCATTCAGAAATACAGAAGTACCTTCTGATATGGTTTACATGTGTTATTTATATATATTATATTAGGCAAATATACAGATAGATATATGTATAATAAGTATATAAATCATCCCACAGCCAGGATGATTTATATAAGAGCATGAACACGTATCTTTCTCCAGAAGGTATGGTGGGCTTCACAATGGAAAGCTTTGGCACTTGAAAAAAACAAGGTAGGGACCATGGGGACAAGCAACTTAACTGGAAATTCTGCTGCTATAGCATGTCTCTAGTGATTCTTTTGGACGGATCAATAAGGGAAGTAGGTGAGACTAGGGAAGCTTTTCCAAACTATGTGCTAGGAATAAAACTGATGTCAAGAGAGAGACATAAAATTTGTGTCCTCATTTTAAAAGGGATGTTAGAAAACCTACAAGCATAAAAAAAGCTCTGCTAGAGTTATCTGAAGGCTGGAAAATTACTGTCCAACTGGAGACATTAAAAGATCAATCTGATTACACAGAAATCTGAGAGGAGACTGGGTTTTCAGAGTGTGGGAACCTGAAATGCACATAGAACACTGGATATTGAAGAAAAAGGTAATTTGCTTAGTGAAGATATAAAAACAATCAGCAGCTAAAAGTAAGGGAAATTGTCACTTTAGAAAATAGAACAAAACCAGTTAAGTTGATTAAGCCATTGAGAAGAATATTAAGGGCTTGATGGATCTGTTGTCTCTTGAGGAATTTAAATCTAAGCCCATAGTGGTTTTGGAAGATATGTTATCTTTAAATACAAAAGACTTCCTGAAACAGGCTTCTCTGTTAACAATCCAAAACTCACAAATACATTGCCCATACCCTGCGTGCAACCAACAGCACTTTTCAGTAAATTGAGGTTCCCAGAAGCCATAAACCAAAAGTGCTTTGATCAGGGTATATTCCTCTGCTTCTACTTGTTTACTGTCAATAGGATTGAAACTCTTAAATCACTGGGATGATTTGGCAAATTTCATAGGCATGGAATACATTCCTGCTCTCCCTATAAAATGCCAAGAAGAGAATAAATACTGTAGACCAGAAGCTGGAGCGAGCAGTCAGCTATGCAACTCAGATCTTGAGGAGAAAGAGGAAGTCTGAGCTTTCCTGAGGGACAGTTTAACTAAATTTAACTAAAAAAAGAAGGTGGGGTTTTTTCCATTTTGAATTCACAGCCATGGATTTTCTTGGAATTTAAGTGAGTAAGCTAAATCCTGCTCCATGTGTGTTGGTATAGAGCAAATAAAGTAGCATTATATTTCTTCATTCATCCATACTAACAATTCACTAGGGCAAGGGTTGGAGCCTGGATCCAACACATTTGAGCAAGTGTGCAAAAGAGTTAGGGTCTCTTAGGCTCATATTTTTCTAAGAATCCTTTTCCCCTTCTCCAGTATCTCTCCATATTGTCTTTAGTCCTATTGCCAGTAACGTATTGAAGTATTCTCAATGAGTCTTGAGTCTGTTTCTTGGGTTCTGGTTTTGTGGTTGATTGATTTTAACTTGCTATATGCCAATGTGCAGTCAGTATTATGTCTGCATTCTCTCCTTTTCCTTTATAGTTTGCTATTTCCACTATGACCTTTTAACGAAAGGAATCCTGGTTTGGGAATATTTGGTAGATATTTAATAAAGAGTACTTCCATTTAGCATTCATATTCATAGACCCATTGTCTGGCTGATCAGACTTATGTCCTTGAAGCATTCTGCAAACAAGGAGAAGCAAGTTCAGACACGCACCAGAACAAACCCTTCTTGGGACTCCAATTGTTTTCCTAAGACAATTGCTTAGACTTGCTCCTGCCTAAAAATCTTAAATAATTGGAAGGAACTGTCATGAGATGCAGTATGTCTGACTCATGATGCTTTCTCTTTGGTCTATTTCAGCCAACTATAGTCAACCTGAGATAGCATGGCTGCACAAAGGGGAACTAAAGCCCAATGAATATTTGAAGCTTTGCTGTTCTTCCAGTGGAGGTTATCCAGAGCCCAAGCAAATGACTTGGTTAATTTCACATGAAAACAGAACACACAGGCTTATGAATTACATGGATATCTCACAGGATGCTGTAACAAAGCTGTACAATGTTACTACCAATCTGAATACCACTGTTCCTACAAACACCCTTACTAATATCAGCTGCTTGCTTCACCTTGGAGAGGAGCTGGGGAGCCTTGTCTCAGTGCCACTAGGCATAGGTGAGTGCCCATTTGCCTTTTCCACTTTTTTCATGGGTTGGAAAAGGGCACATTGTAGTAGAGCTAATAACAACAGCATAGTCAAGTCAGAGAATAAACACTAGGTAGCAGTAGGAGTTGATTACAAGGGTTGTATGTTCTCTATCCAGTTCACCAACACCCACAGCCACCAAATTCCCTCTTCTTTCCATATGGGAAGTCTTATTACAGCAAGAATTGGGCACAGAGAAGGAAGGTTACTGCTACACAATCCGGAACACAGTCCTGTTTGTCACCTCCATAGATGCTGCTGTAATAAGCAACAAAGCAAGCTGGGTGTCTCCATTAGGCATCAACCAGTCTCCAGAGGTGACAGCTGTTGAGAGATGTTGCCACTTCACAGGATTAGAGAACTGCTGAGATTGGAAGAGGCATCTGGAGATTATCCAGGTCAAGTGCTCTGCCCAAAGCAGGGTTAAAAGGTAGTGCAGGGCCTTATTTAGTTGAGTTTAAAATATCTCCCAGGATAACTTCTCTCAGCAAACTGTTCCAGTGTTTGATCACCCTGACAGTAAAAATGTGGGGTTTTTTTTCCCTGATGTTTAAGTACTTGAACTGAATCACTCCTTAGAGAGAGATAGAAGGCTAAACAGAAATGTCCCTTGGATCAGATTTGGCTCAAAATCTGCCAAAGAGACTGTGCTGAGTTTTAGCATAAAGGCCATGAAGTTTTGCCTAGTCTTAGAAGCATTCCTGGCGGTTTTCATAATTTTTGGCAGGACAAAATATGCATTCCAAAATTGCTATCTGGGGATTTTTTTTTCTCTAAGATTGTCTCTTTTTTTTTTCACACACTGCTTGCAAGAAGAAGCTGGGGACCTGAATTCCAATAAGGCTTTTCTGCTGGATCATCTCAGGGTTCCGCATGGCTAATCCTTTCTTTAAAATAAAGCTGATTTTATTTATCTCCTAGGAAAGGAAAACACCCTTTGACATATTTTTGTTTGTAAACTACAGCACAAACACATCAAAATAAAGACAATTCCCACTTCGGTCATAAGTTCATTTGGCTTGCACATGTTTCCTTTAGACAGCATTGAAGATGGAGAGCCGTGCTTCAACTGACAGGAATAGGGAGCCAAGAGGGAATGGCAGAATTGCAGGAAAGCCTGCTAGGGTAGTATAGGCATGCACCTTACTACTGCAAATGTGGTAGAGAAAAGAAGTAAATAAAAGAAGCTTGCCACTTGTTCTGAAAAAGGTCCAGGGTGCTGTTTTCTTCATATAAATCTAGCTACAGGGTTAAGTCATCAGTGCTCGATGTGACAAACTGCCTCTGATGGCCTGACATTCTAGCATTTTTAAATAACATTAAAATACAATACAGAAGTCTTCTGAGGTTTGCACCGCTCTACATGAGTGTTAACATGGCTATATTAGCTATATTAGCTAATATACTTATTAACTATATTAACTCTATAGCTATAGTGCTGCATCCTCCTCTTCCCTACTGAATTCTTCTCTCCTCTCTGGCCCTATGAAAGTAGTCACTTGATAAGCGGTGATGGTGGGTAAGAAACCAGGAACTCCACATAAAAATAAGCTCTGTTTGGCAATAACTGAAGCTCTACCTGTTCCTAACCTTAGCAACCAAAATCTCAAAAGCACAATAACCAGAAATAGAGGGAAACTCCCTTGATTCTCTGCTACTTTCACATCCCTTATGGCATTTCATTAGGCTTTGACCATCATTTACACAAATACCCAGTAGTAACATATCCCAGGTCCTTCGAACTTGCACAGTGGCACAGAGCAGCATTAGCACAGTAGTTGCCTCGTAGGCTCTTGTATTAATTAAGTTGCTGATCTCTCACCTGTTACCCAAATATCATAAAGAGTACTTTGCCTTACTGTTGTTGAAGTGGCCGCTAAGACCTGAGAGTTTCCCTAGTTATTGGAAATGGAAATAAAACATTGGAGAATGATTTGTTTGCAATATTAAAGCACTGTAAAAGCAAAGGATGCTGAGGGCCTTTCCCTACATTTCTAATTCACATAACTTTGGGATAGAGTGTTTCAGTTAATAGTCACCAAATTAAATCTTTGCTGTGTGTATCTCCTATGTTTTCTTATTCAGAGATAATTCAAGAGGAAGAAATAGAGCAAGTGAAGATACATTTCTTTGGCCCACTTATAGCTGTGATTGTACTGATCACAATTCTTCTAGGTTTTGTGATCTTGAGGAACAGAAATATCTCATCCAGCAACCAGAGTAAGTTATTACTTCTCATTCAGTTCTACTGTCCCTCAAGTCACAGACTTTGCTCTTTGCAATTATCCCTTCACCTACAATCAAGATGCTGACAGAAAGTTAGATTTCATGCTGGATTTAAGCTAAACATTCTTGGGCAATTCAATTCCTGCAACAACTTAGTCCATCCAGCAGCAAGTCAAAATATCTTTCTCCTGTCTTGTCCTGGGATCCACTTCTCTCTCCACTTTGTGCTCTGTGAGACTGCCAGGTACCAGTTTACCATTTTCTGCAGTTTCATCCCTTTCTTTTTCCTGGGGTTTGGGTTTTGGTTTGGTGGTTTTCTTTTTTGGTTTGTTTTTTTTTTTTTGGTGGATGTGGCTCATAAAATCATTGAACTGTAGAAACATTTCTTGTCCATCACCATTTATAAGAAAGGTGGTGCTGGGTGAGAGATGAGATGACATTTCTGTCAAGTGCAAGTATCTCTGTCAACGCAGAGCTGAAGGGTCAAGGCATTGCTCCACCACAGGCAGCCCAACTCTGGGCTGCAATAATCATCTTGTACTAGGAACAGAATTTGAACTTTGCGTTGCATTTTTCTGTTTTGTTTCAAGACTGGGTCTCAGCTGTCCAGGGTTTGTTCTGCACTTAAAGTATCCTTTTGCTGATGTTAGAGTCTACCCTTTCTTTCTTATAGCAAGAGGGAAATGCATTCCTCACAGTCCTGTTTCCTTACACAGCCAAGTCTTGAGCCCTACCTCATTCTTCCTCCAAATCCTAAGATAATTAAGACATTTACTATGAACTCTCTTTCTGCTCCAATTTCTCACGTTTCTGTAAATCACATATTCATCTATTTTAGGTGTCAGTCTAGCAGTCTAGAAGCTATCAAGCTTGAAACTGCAGCCATCAGCCAGACTGCTGACTGGAAACCATCTCTGCACATAGCAAGGCCTGAGGTCCTGTGTTCTTACATGGTGCGCCAGAAAAAGAATCCTCCCCAGATATCCTACAGAGCAACATGCAACATTTTTGCCTGATGGTTGAAATACACTGTCCAGTGATCTCTGCTTTTATTTTTGTTCCAGAATGTAGTAAATACGATGCTCTGCCTGTCTGCATGACTACCTTTTGGCTGTATCTTCCATTACATCCTGTGACATTGTAAAACCCTGAGAGTCAATGAAGAAAGCAGAGCTGTGTGGGTTTCAGAAGATTCAGAAATAGAAAGTGTTAGGCCACAATCTGTGAATCACAGCCATCACTGGAAACATGATCAGAGGCAGGTTATTAATTATGAACCATAAATGCTTTTGGGATAGCCAGTGTGACTTTGTACCAGTAACTTTCTTGTAAAGCTCCACCACAGAAAGAGAAAATCCCCACCCTCTGAGATAAGCTGCACAATTCCTATGAGGCCTCTGAAACTAGACATCACCTGAAGGAAAGACTCGCTTTAAACATAATTGCTGGTTATCCTTTTTTTAGTATCTTCCAAGCTTAATAAGCCCAGACAGTTAGTTCCTGGACTTTCTGAAATTGTGACTGGATCCTGTACTAATTCTGGTGGATGCAGGGATAGAAAATGAAAGCATGAGGTACCATTCATATGTGTAGAAATCTACATATACAAAATTAAGCTAATCATATAATGAAAAAATATAAGTAGATTTTCTTCCAATTTGTTTGACTGTGTTCTCCTTTTCTGAATCTTGCTTCAACCCCTGAGGATAGAGCAATCCATACACTGTGGTATGCCCAGCTATCGGAAGTAGTTTGAACTTTCAGAAAAGATTCTCCGTTTCACTCAGAATGTGCCAGTTCTCCAATCTTGAACAATCTCTGCACTTTACATTCTTCAACAGCATTGATATCTTCCAAGAGGAAGAATGCAGCAGAACTGAGATAGAATTCTGCTGAGGTCTTCATTATGTTTGTGTGGCCTGATATTTTCAGCAGGAGCAGGGACATTACCATCACATTGCAAGACAAGTTCCAATGTGTTGAAATTTTCAGTCTAGGGACTTAGAATTTCCATGGTTTCTGCTGGGTACAAATACTTTTTTCTGTCAAATTATGTGAGTTGCTAGATTCCACCTAAATTTTTACTCCACTTTCAAGTGTGTGAGAGAATTTGCATGCCCTTTTGTGTCAGCTAAACCATTTGGGAGTCAGTTTATTAAGCTATTACACTAACATCCCAAATATTGACATTCAGATTAATATCATTCAAATTTTATTAAAAGTTAAAGTTTTTATTTTTATGTAAAAGTTTATATTTGTTAGTAAACTTATTTAATGACTTAATAAAATACATGTCTTTTTCTGTGTTGGTGTTTTATTCTCCTTCCACTAAAGCATGAAGGAAATACCCACATTTGCTGTTCTCAGGGAGGAAAAACTCCCAGGATTATTTCTTGGAAGCAAACGAATAAAAGAGGAATTGCTGCAATGACCAAGAATGGCACAGCTGAAGTTTTCATTCATGGAGCTGGATATATGTATGTGATATATCCATGTATTCGTACCTCCTTGATTTATTGACATCTTCACCTCAAAGATTAGATTAATTACAGTCTGAAAACTGGGCCTTTTGATTCTATGCTGCAGATTGTCAAATGCATCTCCAGTGGGTCACACAAACTTTAACTTGATTAACATTTGCTTCGTTAAATAAAGCATGTGTTGAACCATTAGGTGTACTAAGTCATGCAGATGCTCACTAGATTTGTGTTGTCTCTCCTGCCTTTTTTAACACATGCTGTAATTCAGTTGATTTTTCTCAACATTTTCCCTTCCCACCTAAGTCATCCACCTCAAGTCCTCACTAACATTGAGGTTCAAAACAATAGCTAAAACCTACTTTGCTCCTACCCAAAAAAGCTTTGTGGGTCTTTTGTCTTCTGTATGCCTAGATTAACAAATGCACACATACACTCTCGAGCTCACAGTCTCGGAACTCCCTTACCAGTCCCTAAATTCTGATGTGCTGGTCAGCTTTCTGCAATGAGGGGAAAAGCCCTTCACCATGTTTTCCCATAGGAGAAAACCAATCAATCAGCAGCTTCTCCACAATGGAGAAGGTATCTGGAAATCTATGCTAGGACTCAAAAGTCCTACTCTAGAAAAATTCACTTAGCAAAAAAAAAGAAGAATTATGAGAGCTTGGAATTCAACAGGTTTTGCAACATGTCATAGTACCTCTGAGGGGGCTTTTCACCCCAGTACACTGTCCACTATCACTACCAGCAGTTGTAACTAGTGACAAAAAGCCACACACACAGTGGGTTCATGTTTTCTTCTGACAACTCCCTTCCATCCTTAATTTGTTCCCCATCAGTGAAGTTGTTTGTTTTCTCCCTTGCCATCCCTCTGCTTTAGGCTACCAACCTCCTTTTTTTACCCGCTCAATTTCTCTGCCTCCTCTTTCCTTGCTCTTAAAACCAACTGTATTCCCCACCTGCAGCTAAAGGCAGTTCAGGGGGAAAGAAGCAGAAGGGCTTCAGGGAAATCGTAGTTTGTGTCTCTCTGTTCAAATGCATTAATCCTCTGCAACAAGCAGGTGTAACGAGCACAGTAGCAAGGCACAAGAAAAACATAGCCACTTTGTTCGCATTTCTGTCCTCCATATGAATTCATTCAGGTTTCCAGGTTATCTCCTTACCCACTTTGTAGTCTTTTCTTTGACAGCATGCTTTCAGACATTTAGTGACTCCATAAACATGGCAAGCAAACGAATGAGTGTACGCTCGCTACATACCACAGCATGGAACAGCTTCACTTAAAAACACCATTCCTTTATTTCTAGGCAGAACATCGTGAATTCCAGAAAATGCTAACAAAGAAATGGAAATGGTGTGTTAAACCAGTAAACAATGCCCTAAAGCATACCTGTCATCAGACTTGTGATAAATTGCTTTAGGTTCACTGAAAACCCACAGAATAGTTGATGTTGGAACGGACCTGTGGAGGTTATCCAGTTCAACCCCCCTGCTCAGGCCTGGAGCAAGTTGCAGAGGTTCAAGTCCAGACAGCTTCTGAGCATCTCTGAGGAGGGAGACTCCACGACCTGTCAGGGCAACATGCTGCAGGGCTCGGTCACCCTTTTCAATAAAAAGGGGTGACTGAGCCTCTGTTCCTTGTGTTCAGAGGGCAGCTTCTGGGTTTCAGTTTGTGCCCATCCACTCTGATACTGTCAGTGGGCACAAACAGCACCTTTTTCACACTGCCCCTTCAGGCATGTATACACACTGAGATCTCTCTGGGGCTTCTCTTCTCCAGGCTAAACAGTCCCGGTTTCCTCAGATGAAAAAGACTCCAGTCCCTTAATAATCTCCGGGATAACCTTAATTATCTCTGGGATAATCGCTGCACTCTCTCCAGTATGTCAATCACTCTCTTGTACTGGAGAGCCCAGAACTGGACACAGGACTCCAGGTGGAACTTCGCTAGTGCTGAGCAGAGGGGAGGGATCACCTTTCTCAGCCTGCTGGCAATGCTTTCCCTGATGCAGCCCGGATACTGTTGGCTGTCTTTGCCACGAGGGCGCACTACTGCCCTACCTTCAACTTGTCCACTGGGCCATCCATGTCCTTTTCTGTAATGCTGCTTTCCGGACGGTAATTATTCCAGGGATTATTCCAGAATAATTATTCCAGAATAGTCCACAGTCACTTCTGAGGGGATTGCCATTTAAGGGGCCATCTAATGGAAAATGTCCCTTAGCGGACTTTTTGCTCTTCAGGTGAATTATTTGCTCCTGAGGGTTACATTTGACCACAGAAATTGGCAATTTTATTAAAGAAATGTAGTCCTTGCGTATATTACCTCTTAGGTTTTGGTTTCAGATTCTAGTTCTGCCCCTTTTCCAAACTCAGATGGAAAAAAAAGGAGAAAGAAAAGAAAAAGATATGAAGTACTTACCCACACTTGAATCTGGGCTGCCATTATTCATACCTAGTCTCACGTTGTTCCTCCATCTTCTGCACTAGAAGGGCCATAATGCTGGGGCAGGCAAGGGTCTAAAGCATATTTTCTGATCTCAGGATGAGCTACCAGAAGGTACAATTAGGCAGGAAAGCTGGGGGAGATGATGTGGGCTGAGAAAATGTAAGGAAAAGAGTGACACACCAGGCTAGCGGCCCCAGGAAGTGCACGTGCATCAAGTGCAGTCCAGGCACAAGCCCCTGCATCACAGACCCCAGGAAACAAAACATTCTAGCAGCTCTCTGCCTGTTGCCTACTGGGAAAAGCTACTCTCCAGATAACAGCAAGGGCAGCTTCCGCACACAAGTCCTGAAACCTGGGATATTCCTCCAGCCCCTGGCTTGCCGTACCTCCTAACATACTTGTGAGTTGTATGGCAGGTGTAAGTAAAGGTCAGATTTTCCTACACTTGGTATGTGTTTGATGTCAAGACCTGCGCACCTTTTGTCCACTGCTTTTTTTAATACAATTCTTAAAACAAAAAATCAGGAGAATCATAAAAATGATGCCTAGCCACCCTTTCCTAATAAGCAGTGCTTATTATTTCAGAAGAACATAGACCTAGGAAAAGAATGGAAAGATGAGGGGAAAACAGCCCAAATTGCAGTTACATACATCCATGCACAGCTGATGAACCGTGTACATTGCCCACCCTCTACAGAAGAAGAGAAGTTCAATAAAAAGCATAACTAGTTTGTTTCAGAATAATTTTCTAAAGCTTCCCTCAGCCTAGTTCTATTCCTGTTAGCAAGAGAAACTGCTCCCTGTCCAGATTGTTCAAAACTGAGGAGCTTTCTTCCACTTCAACAACTTTCTTTTACACCCTTTTTCATCTTCACCCTCTCTCTCATGCAAGTATTACAGAATCCATAATCTGAGAGACTTTTCTCAAGGTACACCATGAAAACAGCCTTTCAGTTTGCCAGAATTACAGTCTGTTTCACAGCTGAGAGGACTAATGCAAACCTTACAGGTATGGAAAAGGGACTATGACACAGAAGCAGAGATCTTACTTCTTTACTTGCACTGCTGAATGCACTACTGTATCCAGAACCATAAGTCATATTTTTAAAAGATGCTCAGCCTGGCCTCAGCCCTGACCGCATTTGGAGTTGGAAGGTGGACCAAAGACCTCCTGAATCATAGAATCAACTGGGCTGGAAAAGACCTTTAAGATCGTGAAGTCCAACCATTCCCCTGCACTGCCAAGGCCACCACTGACCTGTGTCACTGAAGGCCTCGTCTACACAGTGTGTGAACACTTCAAAGGAGTGTGACTCCAGCACTGCCCTAGGAAGCCTGTTCCAATGCCTGAGCATCCTTCGGGGAAGGAGCTGATCCTCATCTCCATCTAAAACTTTCCAGGTGTAGCTTGAGGATGTTTCCTCTTATCCTGTCACTTGTTCCTTGTGAGAAGGGACCAACCGCACCTCATTCCATCCTCCTGTCAGGCAGTTGTAGAGAGCGATAAGGTCCCCCCTGAGTCTTCTCTTCTCCAGACTAAACACCCCCAGGTCCCTCAGCTGTTCCCCATCACACTTGTGCTCCAGACCCTTCACCAGCTCCATTGCCCTTCTCTGGCCCCACTACAGAACCTCAATGCCGCTCTTGTAGTGAGGGGCCCAGAACTGAACACAGGATTTGAGGTGCAGCCTCCCCAGTGCCCAGTGCAGGGGAAAATCACTGGAAAAGCCCTGGCCCTGCTGCCACACTATTGTTGATACAGGCAGGATGATCTTGGCCTTCTTGGATACACCAAAGTGTAGTCAGGCATTGGAACAGGCTGCCCAGGGTGGTGGTGGAGTCACCGTTCCTTGAAATGTTCACAAACCGTGTAGCTGAGACCCTCAGTGGCATGGGTTAGTGGTGGCCTTTTCAGTGCTGAGGAATGGTTGGACTTGATGCTCTTTTCCAACCCAGCTGATTCTATGATTCTATGATTAAGGAGGTCTCTGGTCTGCCCTCCAGCTCCAAATGGGGTCGGGGCTGAAACCAGGCTGAGCTTCTCAGGGGTTTGTCCACTCAGGTCTTGGAAACCCCAAGGATGAGAAGTGCAAAGCCTCATGGGGGACTTGGTCTGCTGCTTGACTGTCCTTGCAAAGAAAAAGTTTTGCCTTACCCCCAGCCTGAACCACTCTTCTTTCACTTTCTGGCTGTCATCTGTCATCCTCCCACCATGCACCATTGTGAACAGCCTGGATCCATCCTCTCAGTAGCCTCCATGTAGGTGTCCTCCAGGCCAGACAAAGAGACCTCCTTCAGGCTCTTCTCAAGTGCTCCAGCCGCATGACCACCTGCGTGGTCTTCCACCAGACTTGCTCCAATTTATCCACATCTT